CTGAGATAAAACTTTGTTTCATACAGGGAAGCGGAAGGAAAATCATTATTAATGGTAATTAAGACCCTGATTAGAATTAAGTTTAGAGGAGGATGCCGCAGCTAGCGAATTATGTCTGCTTGTGTGAGAGCCCTCGTCTGCACCACACACGAAGTAGCAGCAGCCGTTCCTCTACCTTCATTCCCGTCATGAACACTCGACTATCACTACGGCACTTAACGATCTTGAGGTCATCCATAAACCTGTAACAATCTTCTACATCAACAGCTGTTTTAATATAGTCGCTACAAGGCAGGAACATGTAGCGATTACCGATATTGTATTGAGTAAAGAATTAAAAAAATTGTGCCTTGAAAGCTATTAACTCCATTTCTACATGATTCCCAACAAGAAAATAGCATTCGAAGCAAGTGTTCTTCCTTGCTTAGGTTAAATTCATGGTTAGTGTTGATTCCGTGGAGGTGATCCAGTGCTAACAGTACTTAGGTCAGATACTCCTCTTCTATCTTATTCCTGTTATCAGTGACAGCACTAATTTAGTTTCAGATTTAAAACTATTTTGCGAAATTTCCTTTCTAATAACTTATTTTTTATATTTCAAATATCTTAATGGTAAAGAGAGATAATGTCGAAATTATATATATATATATATATATATATATATATATATATATATAATATATATATATATATATATATATATATATATATATATATATATATATATAATATATATATATTTTTTTTTTTCAACAAGTTGGTCTCCCCCACCGAGGCAGGGTGACCCAAAAAAGAAAGAAAATCCCCAAAAAGAAAATACTTTCATCATCATTCAACACTCTCACCACACTCACACATTATCACTGCTTTTGCAGAGGCGCTCAGAATACAAAAGCTTAGAAGCATATACGTACAAAGATACACAACATATCCCTCCAAACTGCCAATATCCTAAACCCCTCCTTTAAAGTGCAGGCATTGTACTTCCCATTTCCAGGACTCAAGTCCGACTATATGAAAATAACCGGTTTCCCTGAATCCCTTCACTAAATATTACCCTGCTCACACTCCAACAGATCGTCAGGTCCCAAGCATCATTCGTCTCCATTCACTCCTATCTAACACGCTCATGCACGCTTGCTGGAAGTCCAAGCCCCTCGCCCACAAAACCTCCTTTACCCCCTCTTTCCAACCCTTTCGAGGACGACCCCTACCCCTCTTTCCTTCCCCTATAGATTTATATGCTTTCCATGTCATTCTACTTTGATCCATTCTCTCTAAATGACCAAACCACCTCAACAACCCCTCTTCTGCCCTCTGACTAATGCTTTTATTAACTCCACACCTTCTCCTAATTTCCACACTCCGAATTTTCTGCATAATATTTACACCACACATTGCTCTTAGACAGGACATCTCCACTGCCTCCAACCGTCTCCTCGCTGCTGCATTTACCACCAAGCTTCACATCCATATAAGAGTGTTGGTACTACTATACTTTCTACATTCCCTTCTTTGCCTCCATAGATAACGGTTTTTGACTCCACATATACCTCAATGCACCACTCACCTTTTTTCCCTCATCAATTTTATGATTAACCTCATCCTTCATAAATCCATCCGCCGACACGTCAACTCCCAAGTATCTGAAAACATTCACTTCTTCCATACTCCTCCCCAATTTGATATCCAATTTTTCTTTATCTAAATCATTTGATACCCTCATCACCTTACTCTTTTCTATGTTCACTTTCAAATTTCTACCTTTACACACATTCTCAAACTCATCCACTAACCTTTGCAATTTTTCTTTAGAATCTCCCATAAGCACAGTATCATCAGCAAAAAGTAACTGTGTCAATTCCCATTTTGAATTTGATTCCCCATAATTTAATCCCACCCCTCTCCCGAACACCCTAGCATTTACTTCTTTTACAACCCCATCTATAAATATATTAAACAACCATGGTGACATTACACATCCCTGTCTAAGACCTACTTTTACCGGGAAGTATTCTCCCTCTCTTCTACACACCCTAACCTGAGCCTCACTATCCTCATAAAAGCTCTTTACAGCATTTAGTAACTTACCACCTATTCCATAAACTTGCAACATCTGCCACATTGCTCCTCTATCCACTCTATCATATGCCTTTTCTAAATCCATAAATGCAATAAAAACTTCCCTACCTTTATCTAAATACTGTTCGCATATATGCTTCAATGTAAACACTTGATCTACACATCCCCTACCCACTCTGAAGCCTCCTTGCTCATCCGCAATTCTACATTCTGTTTTACCTCTAATTCTTTCAATTATAACTCTACCGTATACTTTTCCTGGTATACTCAGTAAACTTATTCCTCTATAATTTTTACAATCTCTTTTGTCCCCTTTCCCTTTATATAAAGGGACTATACATGCTCTCCGCCAATCCCTAGGTACCTTTCCCTCTTTCATACATTTATTAAACAAAAGTACCAACCACTCCAACACTATATCCCCCCCTGCTTTTAACATTTCTGTCATGATCCCATCAGTTCCAGCTGCTTTACCCCCTTTCATTCTACGTAATGCCTCACGTACCTCCACCACACTTACATTCCGCTCTTCTTCACTCCTAAAAGATGGTATACCTCCCTGGCCAGTGCATGAAATTACCGCCTCCCTTTCTTCCTCAACATTTAAAAGTTCCTCAAAATATTCTCGCCATCTACCTAATACCTCCCTCTCCCCATCTACTAACTCCCCTACTCTGTTTTTAACTGACAAATCCATACATATACAAATCCATATATATATATAATATATATATATATATATATATATATATATATATATATATATATATATATATATATATATATATATATATATATATATATATCAATGTTGCTGGTCAGACTATCCTAAATTTTCAAATCATGATATATGAGGTTTCACTGGTTAGTCCAGAGTCATAGTTGGGGGTGCCTATGTTTGCTGACTGGCGGAGTGGTCATCACCACTGACTGACACCCACACGCACCAAGGTCAGCTCCATGATTCATGTTCTTAATATGTTACTTTCACGAGTGTGAAAACTGTTTGTGTGTATATATGTGTCAAAATTGATATAGGGTAACTAGGCCAAGATTCATGGAACAACTGGTATGTGCAGGTTCCTTATGGCCAGAGTTGTAGGACCATTCCCAGTATCCTGGAATGACTCCAATAACTTCCAAAGTCCTCTGCGGCGTTGCTTCAGATGTTCAAAAAAAAAAAAGACGCCTCCTAATTCGACAACGGCGGAGAATGAAATTAAAGTGTGTCGGTGAACATCTGCCAACTTTGTGTAAAATAGTGTGAGCTTGTGATTACCATTAAATCCCGTCAAATATACTTGAGAGTATTTCATGTAAATGGCTGGTGAATCTTGAGTACAGGATGGTACCCTAAGTTTAGCTTGTGTGCAAGAGAATTTGTCGAATCACTAAATTAAACTAAAAACTGGAATGGTTGGAATCCGTGTGATACCTAGAGAATGCCTCTTCTGACCGGCTTCAAACTTTCATCCTTGTTATGCTTTCCAGGAAGCAAGGTTCGCATTGCTGGCCATTGACTCCCAAATTGCTAATTTTATTAAAGAGGGGTTCGGAGTTTCATTTAATAACTAAAGAACGACTCTACTGATCGGCTTCAAATTGGCAACACTGATACTTCCAGGAGTGCAAGGAACAAGTGCAGTAGTAACAGCAGCAACGCACACAGCAAGAGGCATTCCTGAGCTTCCCCAGCGCTCGGGCTTAATGCCCAGAGCTAGGGTGTGACTCCAAAAGGATCCTGTAGTGCTTGCTGCCTTAGCACCTCCTGACATTGTCTGCTGCTATGCAGCTGCCACACCCTTCGAGCCCAGTGTGCGCGGAGTTTGTGGCAGCCCAAGGTGCCTAGCTTCTCCCACCGAGCCCCGTGGGGGGCGGGGAATGGGGCTAGGCCTGGGGACAGCTAGTCCCAAAAGACGAGGTACTTGTACCTCCTCCCATGGCAGACACTGGTCTGAGACTCGGCTAAATAATGTACTTTACAAAATGTATTTTCGACTGCCTATAACCTGTGTGTGCCCTCAGCACCATTGTAAAAATATAAAATTATGTACCCAATTATTCCAATGGCTTCAGGATGAAATCCAAATATTTTTCGTTGAAGCCTTTTTATCCACTTGTCCAAGGCTGTGGGTCCCACAATTTGCACTTGAGGTTAACCCCAAAGCTTGAATATCTTTTGTTTAACTCTCTTAAATACTTAAAATCAAGTCAGTCTTTCTGAGAGAAAAGGTTTATTGATTTTGGCTCATGTGGAGGACAAATTGATTGTCAGGGAAATGGAAAGAAACTGGGGAAAACTGAAATGCTACTTTTCATTCGATAATTTCTGAGTATCACACCTAATTAACTTAACCCTTCAGTGCTGATAACCTGATAACGCAGCTTCACGCTTAACGTGTTGTATTTTAGGTTACTAGTCTCTACGATAAGAGAATGTCTTCTTGGTTAAGCTTCAAAGCTGGTGCTTCTTACTGGATAGTTTGAATTACATATGGTTAGTGTGTGTCCTAATTTTCCATTTTATTGAAGAAATTGTGGTATTAATTTTCATTTGATGAATTATGAATGCCTCTTCTGGTCCCCTTCAAATCTTCAACACTAATATTTAACTGTTATACACTTATGCTTCACTCTGCACTACTCCAGTTGCGTGCCTCGAGGCACAGGTATACCTGGAGGGAGTTTTGGGGGTCAACGCCCCCGCGGCCCGGTCCGTGAACAGTGACCGTGACCAAGTGGATGGAGTTGTGTAATACAGGGATACCACTTCCGGATCATGCAGTGACCGAAATACATTGTTATATTTTATTCCAAAGTGATAGAAAAAACCTACTTAGTATCGTGTTTTCGAACCAGCAGTGTGTAGACGTTGTGTTGCTGTTATTTCAGTTATCTTAAATAGGATTTGATCTTACCTTAATATCAAGATGAACAATGTTGCGATCGTGAACAAAGACGAGTCCCTCAAGGAGCTGTCGCGTGAAGCTGATGACATCACGTTCATATGGTACCATATCTTCGTCCAGGAGTGTCTGAAGGTCTCCTCCAGCAGCACTGTGGGACACCACAACATTGTTAGTACATGATCAACTGTGTGTGTGTGTGTGTGTGTGTGTGTGTGTGTGTGTGTGCGTGCGTGCGTGCGTGCGTGCGTGTGCGCGCACGCGCGTTTGTGCGTATGTGTAAGTAAATCACTATAATATCTCTACATAAGTTAGAGAATACACACACACACACACACAGACACACACACACACACACACACACACACACACACACACACACACACACACACACACACACACACACCACACACACACACACACACACACACACACACACACACACACACACACACACAGGGAAATCGACTGGGAGAACCTGGAGCCACATGGGGGCCCAGAAACGTGGAGGGCTAAGATGATGGAGGTGGTACTGGAAAACTTTGTACCAACATGTAAGGGACACTACCAAAGAGGAGAGGATGAACCAGCAAGACTGGACCTAGTATTCACCTTGGGCAGTGCAGACATTGAGGACATCACATATGAGAGCCCCCTCGGGGTCAGTGTGGTTCTGAGCTTCGAATACATAGTTACAAGTGGAGAGGGAAGCAGGAAGGGCAGGACGAGTGAAGCCAAATACAAGAGAGGGGACTACACAGGCATGGAGAATTTCCTACACGGGGTTCAGTGGGACAGAGAACTGGCAGGGAAGTCAGTAAACGAGATGATGGGATATATGACAACAATATGCAAGGAAGATGAGGAGAGGTTTTTACCCAAGGGTAACAGAAATAATGACAAAGCCAGGATGAGCCCTTGGTTTACCCAAAGGTGTAAAGAGGCCAAATCCAAGTGTGTTAGAGAGTGGAAGAAATATAGAAGACAAAGGACCCAGGAGAACAAGGAGAGAGGTAGAGCCAGAAATGAATATGCACAAGTAAGGGAGGCCCAACGACAATATGAAAATGACATCGCGAAAGTCAAATCTGACCCAAAGCTGTTGTACAGCCACATCAGGAGGAAAACAACAGTCAAGGACCAAGTAATCAGGCTAATGAAGGAAGGAGGAGAGATTACAAGAGGAGACAGCGAAGTATGTGAGGAACTCAGCATGAGGTTCAAAGAAGTGTTCACAGAGGAGACAAAAGGGACTCCAGAAAGACGGAGAGGTGGGGTACACCACCAAGTGTTGGACAAAATGCATACAACTGAGGAAGAAGTGAAGAGGTTGCTGAGTGAGCTAGATACCTCAAAGGCGATGGGGCTGGATAACATCTCCCCATAGGTCCTGAGAGAGGGAGCAGAGGCACTGTGTGTACAAGTAACAACAATATCAAACACATCCATCGAAACAGAGAGATTACCTGAGGTATGGAAGACAGCAAATGTAGTCCCAATTTTTAAAAAAGGGGACAGACATGAAGCATTAAACTACAGACCAGTGTCACTGACATGTATAGTATCCAAAGTCAAAGAGAAGGTTATCAGGAGAAGAGTGGTGGAACACCTAGAAAGGAATGAGCTTATCAATGACAGCCAACACAGTTTCAGAGACGGGAAATCCTGTGTCACAAACCTACTGGAGTTCTATGACAGGGTGACAGCAGTGAGACAAGAGAGAGAGGGGTGAGTAGATTGCATTTTCTTGGACTGTAAGAAGGCGTTTGACACGGTTCCACACAAGACATTAGCGCAAAAGCTGGAGGACCAAGCAGGGATAACAGGGAAGGCGCTACAACAGATCAGAGAATACCTGTCAGAAAGACAACAGCGAGTCATGGTACGTGGGGATGTGTCAGAGTGGGCACCTGTGACAAGTGGAGTTCCACAGTTCCACCGGTCCCAGGGGTCAGTCCTGGGACCGGTGCTGTTTCTGGTATTTGTGAACGACATGACGGAAGGAGTAGACTCCGAAGTGTCCCTGTTTGGAGGTGATGTGAAGTTGATGAGAAGAATTCAATCAGACGAGGACCAGGCAGAACTACGAAGGGATCTGGACAGGCTGCAGGCCTGGTCCAGTTCAACCCCACCAAGTGCAAAGTCATGAAGATTGGGGAAGAGCAAAGAAGACTGCAGACGGAGTCCAGTCTAGGGGGCAATAGACTGCAAACCTCACTCAAGGAAAAAGATCTTGAGGTGAGCATAACACCAAGCACATCTCGTGAGGTGCACATCAACCAAATAACTGCTGCAGCATACGGGCGCCTAGCAAACCTAAGAACAGCATTTCGATATCTTAACAAGGAATCGTTCAGGACCCTGTACACTGTGTATGTTAGGCCCATATTGGAGTATGCAGCACCAGTTTGGAACCCACACCTAGCCAAGCACGTAAAGAAACTAGAGAAAGTGCAAAGGTTTGCAACAAGACTAGTCCCGGAGTTAAGGGGTATGTCGTACGAGGAGAGGATACGGGAAATCGACCTGACGACACTGGAGGACAGGAGAGATAGGGCGGACATGATAACGGCATATAAAATACTGAGAAGAATTGACGAGGTGGACAGACAAAACGTTCCAGAGATGGGACACAGCAACAAGGGGTCACAGTTGGAAGTTGAAGACTCAGACGAATCACAGGGATGTTAGGAAGTATTTCTTCAGTCACAGAATTTTACGAGTTTGATGTCGTAACTTAAATAAAATGGTCCTGGCCCCTTAAGGCTGCTCACGCTGCTGTCTAGGGGTTATAAAATTACTCTGAAAAACACAGCAAACCTTGGGCCAGCATGTACTCATATAATAACAATATTAATTATTAATAGGAAGGAAGGACAAAAACTCGCCTATATAAAAATATATCTATATTAATAGTAACTAATATACAACTTACAATCTACTCCCCCCCCCCAAAAAAAAAAAAACCCGCCACACTCCAGTTCGCATTAACTCACTAGCACACTGCTACTAGTGAGTTAAACAAAAAAATGAACATTTATGAACAGGGAGGCTCCATGACCCTCCCCCCCTCCTCTTCACTTCTGCCTGGTAGACTAATTACCAGCAACCACAACTAGGTGAGTGTACACACACACACACACACACACACACACACACACACACACACACACACACACACACACACACACACACACACACACACACACACACACGCACGTACGTAAGTACATACGTACATATGCGCACGCATGCACGCGGTTTACTGCCCATGTAATCATCAAAACATCTAAATTACCAGGAGCTCCTCAACGCACTTGGAATATACTCTCTAGTACGGAGAAGAGAGATACTTGATAATATATACATGGAAAATACTTGGAGTCACGTGCCCGGTCTGCACACCTGCTTACTGGAGCTTGAAAGATAAGGATTTAAATATAGTATAAACCCAGTGAAAAGTCCAGGTACCATAATCTGAGAAAGTTCTAACATCCTTGGTCAACGACTATGTAACCTGCTACCAGCAGATTATTATTATTTTATATATATATATATATATATATATATATATATATATATATATATATATATATAATATATATATATATATATATATATATATATATATATATATATATATATATATAAACGCAATTAAATATTTTTTTTCGTTAAGTTCTGAATGACTTTTGCGAAATTATTGGATACACAAATTATCGCTTGCCTTATTCGGCAAGAAGAGCGTTACTATTTAAGCCAAAATAGCAAGTTTTTACTTATTCGGCACGACATATATATATATATATATATATATAATGTCGTGCCGAATAAGTAAAAACTTGCTATTTTGGCTTAAATAGTAACGCTCTTCTTGCCGAATAAGGCAAGCGATAATTTGTGTATCCAATAATTTCGCAAAAGTCATTCAGAACTTAACGAAAAAAAATATTTAATTGCGTTTATATATATATATATATATATATATATATATATATATTATATATATATATATATATATATATATATATATTATATATATATATATATAATATATTATATATATATATATATATATATTATATATATATATATATATATATTATATATATATATATATATATATATATATATATATATATATATATATATATATATATATATATATATATTATATATATATATATATATATTCAAATTAAATAAAGTTTTCAGCAATACCTCTTACAAATGCATAATCATTCAGGTTGCTATACCTTTGTCAGCCTGCTAGGCGTTAGCATCAACAGCCTGGTTGACGAGGCAGTTAGCAAGGAAGTTTAACCTCAGCGTGGGTTACGAGAGCAGAACCCTCGTAACCGGTTGCATGTGTGTCACAGGTATTAGCATCAACAGAGATATATTCGTCTGGATATACGATATATAATGTGTAAATACACTAGGAGTTTACTATAATCCTTATTTTAGGGATTGAAATACTTAAGTGGCCACGTTAACTGCAACCTTAGTGTTCCAGGTGCTGGCGAGAGGCGCTGTACTTTAATTACCACTGGAGGACTTAACGTGGTAAAAACGTAGCTGTCATTGACACTAGAGCAGCCCAAGACTGTATCATAGAAAGGTTCCACTCGAGGAAAACTATACCTGATACTCTTTGAACGAAACATTTTTGTAATAAAGGCTTACGCTGTTTAATGTGTGTCATCTGTATAAGACTGAGACATTGCTGGTTTGTTTTCTCTTCCACCCGGGAAAATGCAATATAAATCCACTATATTATTAATCCTTTGAAACCTAAACGTTTATAAATTACAAATATTGCAGTGTGTCTTGGTGCCCTGTTTTTGGGTACTGAGATGAGGCCGATACCAGCCGAACTAATCAGAGTATATCATCTATTTTCAAAGGTCCTGCTGGGCCCGGACACTCTGTCCACATTTGGTGAGACAGTGAAGGCGCTTAGGAGTTATTGGTCACAGTGAGGATCGTTGCAGTTATCCTCCAGAAGAATGTTGGTGATTCAGAAGCTTGCTAGTACTAACACTCGTCAGCTTCAAGGACTCTGTAGATAGTATTACAGTATATGAGTTTTTCAAGTAACCCCAACCATAAGTGCCTACCTGTGTTCTTCAACAGTAACTGTCAGTATGG